TTTCTACCAATGTTAAATTTCTCTATTTTGGTCCTAGGCGTGTGTGTGTGTGTTTATTGTGTGTGTGTATATCCATCTATGAGTCAATTGATTGATAGATATTTTTCATTTAATCTCAGTTGTCTTCAGGATTCACAAAATTACATGATTTATAAAGTCCTACAGAGCTTTAAACTTTTGATGAGTCCCCCATGTTTCTGGGGCCTTTTTGGACTTTTCTAATTACCTTGAATAATAATCTTCCAATAAACTCAAAATGTATACTTTATTCACTTAAACCACACATTTTATAATTTGAATAGAGTAAAAGTGTAATGAATTTGATTGACTATAAATCCATTCTGCTAGATTCTGCAAGAGAGATATTGTCATTTTACATGATTATAGTTTGCCATATTTACTGACCTGTTGCAATATAAAATGGCTTATATTACCAGAATGAGGACATCGATTCTCAGAAAAGTTAGTGCTAACCCAGTGTCAGAGCCATGATGTAAAAGTATCTCTCATATCCTAAGATTTCTTATGTAGTGTCAAAACACATATTTTTTCTTAAGGCATCATTTTAAACCAGAGGCCAAACAACTTTATTCATTTTATAAATATCAACATGTAGTACAGTATTCCAGAAACATTTACTTCTTTATTATTGAGTAAATCATCATGTTGCTATTGTGAACCAGAAGATAATTGGGGCATATTCCCCTTTGGGCATCTCCTTTGGGTTTTATCAAGAGTTGAGTAGGTGAATATGAACAATTTAAATTAGTCATACTCATAGTGTATCTAAACCTGCCTTTGCCATTCCACAGGTAAGAGAAAATTTCAGATCATTGTCGGAATATTTTAGGACATGGGACCTAAATATCAAGGTCAAATGTGTCATGAAATCCTCAGTACTAACCCCTTTAGTTGTTGCCCATTGCGTAGGTGAATAGAATGTATCCATCACAATCTGATTTATGCAGAGTCTAAGAATTGAAAAACAATACTTCCTGGGATAAAACAAAGAAAATAGAAAACATCAAATGTATGTTTGTAGAAGTAAGGAGAATGCACCAAACAGAGTGTATGTTTTCATTTTTCTGATGGAAGAAGACAGAGCAGTTCAAAGTAAAACAATCAGGATATTTATCAGTAGAGGGCAAGACAATATTTGACCAATTCAACTATCTGGGGGCTTATATTTTGATATAATGGGAAAAATAATCAGTAATTCTTTTAAGTTTATTTTCCTAGCTATGTAATGTAGAAGCCACTTCGGATTACTACTTATTTCATAATGTTTCTAGTATTAATGGCTTAAAAAATATCCAAATACAACAAAGATTATGTTTTGCTGTATTTTAGTGAGGGGGTGAGGGGGCAAGTCTGTTGCAGGATGAGGCATTATTATAAGAGGCAGTAAAAACTGGTGAAAAGTGCACGCACCATGAGAGAGAACTAGCATTGAATCTCGGCTGTGGCACTTCCTAGCTGTGGGAGTCGCTACAAAGGTGAAGAAAAATAACGTGAGCAGAAGTCCATCCCTACAGCTCCAGAAGTGGCTGTTATCTCTCTCGTCCTTTGCAAACTTAACGTTTCAAAATGGAGCCCAAGATATTTGAAGTACTCTACCTTCTGTTAAAGTTATAGAAGTGGCTTTCCATAAATTCTAAAAGATAATTCTGTATTATTAAATTCTTCAAGAATCGTAGTCATTTTCTCTTTTTAATTCTAAGTCCTTTCAATATGTACTAATGTTGATTTAGTCACATCCATCTAACAGAAATGACGGTTTCAAGAGAAATTTAATTGAAGTATTTAACATAGTAATTTTTCATTATCTTATTTATCCAATGTAAAATTAATCCCTCTGCAATGTGGCAAATGGAATTGTGGTGATCTGTGTGTGTTTTTGTGTTGTTCGTTTTGTTTTTACATTTACAGATCATACAATTCACAAAACTCCTTTATTCTCTAATCCAGACACTTAAAGAGTGCACAGAGGAAAAATCATAATCACAGTATAATACATTGTATTTAATCTGATATTTCACATTGAGGTTGGTGTATTGTCTAATCTGTTAATAAAAAACAAAACAAAAAGACACATGAAGAGTGCACAGAGGAAAAATCATAATCACAGTTTAATTCATTAGTTGTAATCTGACAGAAGAATGTTTAAGTGCATATTAATAATCACAAAATATTTATTACATGTACTAAAAGAATGAAATATCTAGTTCAAGTCTCTGGTTAACTGTGTTTTTCAATAATTTAGTTATAATATTAGTGTTGTGGCCCAATATTTGCTAGATTTAAAAGTAAATACATGTGATGACAAAAGTTCCAATTATATGGGCATCTTACATCATTTATACCAAAAATGGACATGTTTAAAGGATATTGCTTTAAATATTCATTGTTGCACGTATTTAATTAGTCTGCTTGCCTGTGTCTTATTGTGTCTGCTCTGTCATTTAAATTTATTGCTATTTGAAAGAGGAGTAAACTTTGGAGGGAAAGTCTAATCTTACAGGTGGCTTTTAATTATGTATTAGTATTAGAAACTTTCAGATTCTAAATCCTATGCAATTTTCCTTGTACCAGGTTATCACTGAACTGGTGCCGAGAATTGTACTGGGCTTGTTGACACAATCCATAACCAATCTATAAGTCAAAATTGGGGTAAGTTTTTTATGAGCCAGATCTGAGGACTAGCCTGAGGCCTTCCTTCCTGAAGGAAGGAAGGGCATCAAAGAAGTGGGTATACAGAGTGGTTATATACTGTCTTGCAACAAAGAGCATACATCACATACAATAGGAATGTCCCTTTTACAATAGTCCCAAGCTTGCTTTGCTGGAACAGCAGATTGGTGAATACAGCAAGCTGGTGGTCACAAGATGAGTGGTCACAAGGTGAGCACAGCAGGTCAGCAATTAATCCTTCATTTAGAGAGAGATGCTTATCCTAAAGAAAATGCCCATATGGGGGAGGTTATATCCCTATCTTTAGGGGCATCATTCTTGCCTTTTGGACACTAAATATTTAAAAGCAAATGTACAAGGCACACTCAACAGGCCACATCAGGCCCTTTTGGAAAAACAAGGTCAGGCTGAATTAGTTTTAAATCACATGGCTTCCTCATATATATGTATACCCTATTGCTTTTCATTTATTTATCAGGTTTGAACTTTTTCTTGTGACTCCTAATTGCATTAAAACAGAGATTGATTTCACTATATCCATCAAAGTTTGTTTTTTATTTCTTTTATTTCTCTTTTGATCTTGTCTATGTAAACTCTTGTGTAAAGCTCCCATTGGTTGATATTCATGCCATCCATCCCCATGGCATTTTTAAAATAAGAAAAATATATTGGGGGTTTTCCAATCAATTCATTAAGGATTTTTCTAATTAAATGATATATTTAAAAGCATCTTATAGTATTAGAGCCACTCAAAAATATTCAGTTATTTAGAATAAGTGGTTTGAGCACCCTAATTTGTTTTGTTGTAACTTGTTTCCAATACATAAGATTCAACTAAATTCTGCCTTCTCTGGTGTCTCATATCCGTATTTCTTGTTTTCTCTGCCTTTAATCTTTCCAAAAATTCTGTGAAAATATTTTCTCCTGATATTGACAGTTCCTCTAGGGAATCCTGACTTTGTCTTTCCCAGAAGATTGTTGGTCTGTGCTTTCTTCTCCTTCCATCACTATTTCCAATCCAAATGACTCTTTCTCTTACCGGTAGGTTCCATGTCAATGTATTGAAGCTGGAGCTTGACTTGCATCATGAATTTAAATAGTGTACAGAATATTATTTGCAGCGGATTATACGCCCTCAAGACTGACAAATTTTCTATGGGTGGATACATTAAAAATAAAATAAATAGCTGTAACAAATAATTGAATAAAATTTATCCTCCAGCTAGTGTTATATTATATTATATATAATGGAACTTTGAATTCAGGTTCAGCTAACACTGTGACTCCTAATTTGGTTAACCATAGGACTGTGCAGGAATGATTTTTTCTGTATGTTCTAGCATTAAATTTTTGCTATTTTTTTTTTTGCTCAAATGCAAACTCTTATGTCTAGGTGCAAAGATTCTTTTCTGTTGTTATATTTTTAATTACTGATCTTTATGAACTTATTTGTTACTTTTAGATAATAGTTACTTGTTATTTCACTGAATCCAAAATACAACAATATATAATCAAGTGTAATACTCTGAAAGAAAAATCATATTTTTTATTTTTTTCTATAATTCTCTCATTTTTAGCACAGAATCTTGAGAAAGTAGAAAAATATAAATCAAGAGTTAGGCTTCCAAAAACAATACTAATGACAAAATATTTACCCCAAAATGATAAAATGATGCTAAGTATTTGAAAAGAAATTAAATGAAACAAAAGCGGTCATATGATTTTGTAATCAATCACGGTCCATCTTAAAAATATCTTAATTAGTTCTTTTCAGAATAACCTAATGGAGTTGGAAAATTTTTAGACAAATTAACTCATAAAATGTTACAGTTTGCTGGAGTGTTAGTCTGTCAAACAAATCTATACAGCACATTCAATATTTGAGGGTATTTTAAAAATAAATTTTAATATAATTTGTCCTTCAATGTTTATTCTATTGTATTGAGATAAGCATTAATGTCACAATTACATAAGAAAAATTTTTTAGCTGTTCACTTTGTGTTTTAATGTGATTTAATAGGAAAATAGCTAATAAAATTCAGTGTTAAATTAACCATTTGACTTGATGGTTTTAGAAATGACATGAGTTGAGCCAGCAAGTGAAAACTCAAATCTTCCATTTGATTCTGTAGTGAGCGGCATCAACCTTTGACCCAGCTTCCTGTTACTGTGTCCTGAAATGCTGCTGGGAAATTATGCATTGCCAAGAAATAAATATGAGCACATAGTTCTCTTTCTCTGAGTCACAATATTATTTATTCTTTTTGTAGTAAATGAATTATAATTTTAGGAGTATTTTCAAGTTTGTTCCATGAGGTGTCAACATGAAGAATGGCACTGAAGTTAGTATATTTGTACTGAAGGGTTTCACAGACAAGTTTGAACTGCAAATCACCTTATTCTCTGTGTTTCTGGCAATTTACGTGTTTACTCTGATGGGAAATTTAGGACTGGCTGTATTGGTCATTGGGGATTCTTGTCTCCACAACCCCATGTACTATATTCTGAGTGTGTTATCATCTGTGGGTGCCGGCCTCTCCTCAGTAGTTACTCCAAATATGTTAGTAGATTTTATGTCAAAGAATATAGCTATTTCATTCCTGGAATGTGCAGCACAGATGTTTCTCGCTGTTACTTTTGGGACCACAGAATGCTTTCTCTTGGCTGCAATGGCATATGATCGCTATGTAGCAATCTACAACCCTCTGCTGTATTCAGTCAACATGTCACCTAGGGTCTATGTGCCACTCATCATTGCTTCCTATGGTGGTGGCATTCTGACTGCTTCAGTTCAAACAGGGGCCACATTTACCCTAACCTTCTGTGCATCTGATGAAATTAGACATGTCTTCTGTGATGTCCCTCCTGTCCTCGCCATTTCTTGTTCCGACACTCACACGAACCAGCTTCTAGTCTCCTACTTTACGGGCATTATTGAGACAGTCACTATCCTGATTGTCCTGGTCTCCTATGGTTTCATTCTGGTGGCCATTCTGAGGATGCATTCTGCTGAAGGGAGACGAAAAGTCTTTTCTACTTGTGGCTCTCATCTAACTGGACTGTCAATTTATTATGGGACAATCTTCTCCACGTATGTGGGAACAAGTTCCAGCTACTCTTCCGACCATGACATGATAGTGTCAATATTTTACACCATTGTGATTCCTATGCTGAATCCCATCATCTACAGTTTAAGGAACAAAGATGTAAAAGAGGCAATGAAAAGAGTGTTTGGTAAAATTGGATGTATTAATAAAATATATTTTTCACACTAACCATTAAATTGAAAGAAATTAAGAATGATGTGCATTGCCTCCATATCAAGTTATGATAAAAATGTTTTATTTTATTAGTGTCTTTCTATTCTTAGACATTTTTAGATAAAAATCATAATTATACCTCCACCTGTGCAGTTTCCACACATGCAGAAAAACTGTGAAGTCTCTTTGGTTCCTACTTATTCTCAGATATACAGACACATACATACACACATACATATACATACATATATGCTGATACTGATTGTGTCATTTTGTTAAGGCTGCTGTAACAAAATATCACAGACTAGTGGCTTAAACAACAGAAATTTATTTCTCACTGTTCTAGAATCTAGAAGTCTGAGATCAAGGTGAAGGCAGGGTTGGTTTCTTCTAAGGCCTTGCTCCTTGGCTTGCAGATGGCAATCATCCCCCTGTGTCTTCACCTGTTTTCTTCTCTTTTACTGTATATGTCCTAATATCTTCTTATTATAAATATACCAGTGATATTGTATTAGGGCCCACCCTAAAGACCTCATTTTAACTTAATTACTTTCATAAAGACCTTATCTCCAAATATAGTCACATTCTGACATACAGGGTTTAGGATTTCAATATACAAATATTGGTGTATATTATATATATATTTACACACAGAGTCACATATACACATAAATCTTTTCTTTCAAATGTTTGGTAGTAACTTTCATCTCAATATGAGTCAAATTGGATAGGATCCCAGGTTGCAATTATAAGTAACTTTATAATTATATCTGACAATCTTGAGCCAATACCACCTAATCAATAATAAAACTAGGCTGACCTATTCCCTTACCTCTTTCCACGGAATCGTTGGTATCAGACTCCAGTTCAAAGCACTGTGCTCCACGCTCAGATCTATGCACTGGCAGCAATCTAATCACACCCTGGGGTTAGGAGATCTCGGAAAATGTGTTCAGATTCCTGGTGGTGTTACCATGCTGTTTGTGAGGGTGCATTTCTTCCCCTTTTACCATTTCATTATTTCATCCAAAGCGTGGACACTGCATCCATTCTTTATTTCCTCACAGAACACAGAGACTAGGCATTAGCATTTATCAAGATGACACTGAAACTCAAGCATGTGAAAAGACAAGCACACTTCAGAGAATAAGGCACAGGTCTCCGGCAGACTGGGCTCCTCCCACAACAAAGCCCCAGCCGTCTTTATGGGTTTCCCTACAGGGCTGGTCCTGACTCAGCTTGAGCTCTCTTTCTTGGACTCCTACCTCTCTGTGATGCCCTTGAAGATGCCGCCTGTCCTCAGGGCCCAGGCCCAAGAACCAGAGTACAGAAGAGAGTCTCTCCTATGCTCATGTTAGCCCTGCTTCCAGCAGACCTCATTTTCACGGCAAAGACGTGTCACGTCTCCTTCAAAGTTAATTATACGTGGTTGTATTTTCCTTCTTTCCGTCCTTCCTTCCTTTCATTATCATTAATATTTTTTTGAGTGTGAAATACCTTTAGTTGCAATAGGACAATCTCTTTAACACACAGAGTATAACCTAAGGACATTTCCCTAAAGTAAGATTATTAAGTATAAATAACACCTCAACATTCAAAATATAAAGCATCTCTAATCACAATACATTCCCCTCATAATTTTTCTGCCTTTCTTTTCTGCTGTTTGAAAGGCTCTCCACACTGCTACTCACATGATTCCTTCCTTCAAATGTTACCTCTTAGTCAGGATCTCATTGGCTACATTATGATAATGCAATTTACCACCTTTACATCTCCTCATATTCCTTCTATATTAAATGCACCCATTGTACTTTTCACTATTTTATATGATATGAATTTTAATTTATATATGATTTATCGTCTAATCTATTTTCCAGAGTCTAGAACAATGTCTGACACATATTGTTACTCATAAATATTCTCTCAATGAATAAATATTATAGATAGAAAACTAGGAAAACAGTTTATTTAATTTAATTAAAGGACACGTAAACAAATAGCATTTTCTGTTCAAATATTAGTTGTTTAGAATTTCTAGTTTATTCTTTCCTTTTAAAATTTTTCTTCATCCTTCTATTAGCCTATTTTGTTATTCTTTTCTAGCTGTCTCAATTGGATATGGATTTTCCAATGAACACCGTGTGAGCGGCATCCCACATTTTTTAATATGTCATATTTTCATTATCAATGTATCTGTTTTTTTCCTTATTTCTCTTTAACTTAGGAGTTATTTAATAACTTATTTGAAAATATCTAACTGGAATAGTTAGAGAGTTTATTTTTATTTGTTATTCATATCTTAACAGAATAAAATTTTTAAATATTCTATATTCAGATCTTGTTTTCACTAATATACGGCTGCACATACATTTGAAAGGAAGGAGAACTCTCTTTTATTTCTTGACAAAGCTTAATACATACGAATGTATAAAAATAATCTTGTTGAATGTGTACTTTAAGTCTTTATGTTGTATTCAATATTTTCTTGACTAAAAATGTTTAATAGAGATGTATTAGGTTTTCCTAATGTTAGTATGATTCTGTGTACTTCTCTCTTTGCATTTTCTGTATGAGAAGTTTTCAACTTGAAAATATTTGTTGCTATGTTACTGTTCACATAGATAACACTTTTGAGTCTTTGTTGTGAGTTAAAGTCTGTCAATACAAAGTATACCTTTTTGTCTACTTTGATACTCCTGCATTTGATATTCTTGCATTCTCTATTTCTTGACATTAAAATTACAGCCAATGCTCTCTTTGCATGGGTATTGCCTAAATGTACATCTGCCTATACTTTTATTTTTAACTTTCTGTGACAATTTGTAATGTATTTAGCTTTAAAAAACTACACTGAAAGTCTTTTCTTTTTAAAGGTGTATTAGATGCATTTACAATTGTCGCTAAACATAGATTAGTTTAGCTTTGTCCTAATGTTCATGTTACAAACATGTATCATACACACATATGCATTTAGATGTACATATGTGCCTACATACGCAGCCACACACACACACACAAACATATATGAAGTTTTTCCCTTTGTGGTCTGTCTTCATCACTCCTTACACCATTATTTATTTATTTTTAAAATGTTTTTGTTTTTTAGGAATACATTTAGCTTTAAAGGTTCTCTCTGTATTATCTCCATTGTCCCTACGTTTTTAGATGCAACCTCTTGGTTTCCTACTGTGAGAAACGTTGGCATTGGCGACTGACGCTCAGTCTGGCTGCTTTCATCTGACATTCATGTTCCTCCCTTGTTGTGTTTCCTTGTCTCCACTTTATCCTGCCGTGAAGTACAGTGAAAAACACGATAAGGGCTGTTTCGCTAGCCCTTAAAAGTAACAAGATCTTTTGGTCTGGTTTTGTAGAAGGAAATATTAACCTTAATAAATATAATGTAGTATCGATCATTCCTTGTCGGCTTACCCAGAACACATTATATCTTTTCAACAGGAAGTTTCAAGTCTTCTTCAATTTCAGGGGAAAAATCTGCATTATAGTTTGTGATACCTTTTCTATTTCTTTGGCTTGGTTTTCTTCTTTGAAGGAACAAATTATATGCTTGTCCTGTCTTCTTTGTCTTTATATTCTTCCTTTATTCTGTTTTTCTTACTGTGTTTTTATGGGATCTATTCACTTTTTAAAAATTTTTAACATGACTTTTTTCTTTATCTATTGTAAATAATATTTAAAGATATATAATGGCAGGAACTTTCTTCAGAAATAATTTACATACTGTAAATATCACCTGTTCAAAATATATAATTCATTGTCTTTAGTAAGTTTAAAGCACTGTGCATTTTTATCACTCCTAAAAGAAACTTTGTAGCGGCTAGCAGACATTCCCCATTGTCCCACTTCCAAATCTAGGAACCACTAGAGAGTCTTTATAGATTTTCTCTCTCTCTAGATTTGTCCATTTTGGACAGTTCATGTGAATCATATCATACAATACGTTGTGTTTTGTGACTGACTTATTTGCTTCGAATAAGGTTTTTAAGGTCCATCCAAGTTGTAGCAGGTATAAGTACTTCATCACTTTTTATTGCCATACTATATTCCATTGCATGGATATTCCACATTTGTTTATCCATTCATCAGTTGATGGTCACTTGGATTTTTGCTCTTTGCCTAGGATCATAATACTTATGAACATTCTCACGCAGGTGTTTAAGTAAACATACGTTTTCAGTTATCTTGGGTAGAAACTGAGGAATGGGCTCAGGCCCAGATGGTTTCACTAGTGAATTCCACCAAACATTTAAAAAGAATCAATACCAATCCTTCACAAACTCTTCCAAAAAACCCATCGACTCATTCTATGATGTCAGTGTTACCCTGACAAAACCAGAAAAAGACACCACAAGAAAAGAAAACCAATGGTAAATGGACTAATAACTCTTGACTATAGATGTAAAAATCCTCAACAAAATGCTAGCAAATCAAATTTAGCAAAGTAGCAAAAAGAGTATTCAGTGATCTATTCCCTCTTGTGTTACTTCTACATTAGTGTTCATTTCTACAATGATTTGGTCCCCAAGTCTTTCTTGAATTCAAGCAACTCTTTTTATGAAATCTCAATTTTTTACAAGTACACATTCTGATATTCTCTATATTTTACATATACTCTTATCAATATATTTCAGACTTTTCTTAATTAGTGTGTTTGCCCTATGATATATTTTTATGATATACTTTTATTACCGATGAATATTTTAAAAATATTTCTCATTGTTTAACATCATCTTTTTGAATAGATGGGGTTTCTTTGGAAACTTATTCCCTCCTTCACACTTAAATGAAATAAATATACATACACTTAGAATTATTATTTTTTTTATTTGGAGGCAAGGTTGTGCCTGTGCATCTTTCTTAGCTTTACACCTAGAGGGTTTTAATCTCTGTTGTTAACACAGTTTTTGTTTTGATGTTGCTGTTGTTGTTGATCTTTGTATGTTTTTAAGGGCGTTCTTTAATCACCTACACATGTGTGTATGCACACACACTGAAAT